TCCCGACGAAGACGGTTACTAATTTTTCCTCTCTCTGGCTTCCAGAAAACTCCTAATGTCTCTACAATATACAGCATAACAAACAGCTAGAAATAGCTTCATAAAAACAAAGATAAGCCATTCTGCTTTAATACACAATTCAATCCATCAATTCTTAAAATCATTCATAAACTAAATCACAATTCAACCGTTCTTTGAGCCGTTAAATTTAGTTAATTTATTAGTACTTTTGCTATCTCTTGCAGTCATACATATATAGTAAAGACAAGCTTCTGGAAGAACTGGTAAAACAGGTTTGAAATATATTTTCTTGAATCTTCCAGAAAGTCACTTTGTAGAGAGTGGCACTTGCATATTATCGCAACCACCTTTAGAAGTTGCTAAAATCTGACAACTATGTGCATAACAGTTATGATAACCATGTCCGCTGTAAGTTAGAATAAAAAAATTCACGGAATCAACTTTTTCTTCTGTAAAAAATCACCAAACTGCACCAATATTGTTGGTGCTTTTCTCTCATTTAACCTGTTTTAATGGTTAAGGTTAGTCAGTTAAACCTGCAACATAGCAGAGCAGCTTCATACAATTTAGCTGCTCAATTAGGTAAGCAAGGCACTTTTGTTGCCTTAATTCAAGAACCTGGGTGTACAAGGGTAAAATCCTGGTAGGCCCATGAACGCGCACTTCTTTTCGACAGAGGACTGATAAAAGACCTAGAACTAGCATTTACATTTAAAAATATAAAGGCTATGAAATTATCCCAATTTACATCAGGACTTAACTGCTATTTAATTAAGGACATAGACAGTTCACTGAGAGGAAACATTTGTTTTTGCTCGGTTTACATGGCTTATGACCTTAACATCCGCAAGAATTTATAGATCTTGTGAGTTTCTGTGAAATAAACAATATTCCTATGGTTATTGGTTGGTGATCACCACCTGTCATGGGGCAGTCTGATACTAATCCTAGAGGAGAAAACTCATGGAACTTATAATGAATACCAACCTAAACTTGGTAAACAGGGGAAATCGCCTCATCTTTGTCAACAGAAGAAGAGAAGAAGTCATTGACCTCACATTAACTTCTGATATTTATAACCTTATTGAGAATTGGCATGTAAGTGACAATCCTTCACTTTTAGACCATTGCCTTATACAATTTTGTATTAGAGATGAAATTACAGTTGAATATTTCAGAAACATTAAAAGCACAAATTGGGACCTTTATAAGGACTCACTGGTTTCTAATGTCATTAATCTTCAGGTTTTAGACAATAATTGTATAGTCGAGGACCTTGATACTCAAGCAAACAATCTGACAGATATCACTATTGAATCTTATCATGCATCATGCCCTATCAAACGAAGTACTCTCCTAGCAAGAGAGTTCGGTGGACCAAGCAGTTTGAAAGCTTCCGCCTAGAGGTTCGGAGAGCTCACAGGAAAGCAGTCAGAAATAAATCTGAAGTTAACTGGTCTAACTTTAAAATTCTACAAAGGAAATTTAAAAGTGAAATCAGGAAAACTAAAATACACTCATGGAGATCGTTCTGCACAGATATTCTGTCCTACCATGAGACTGCCAGAGTATATAAGATTCTTAAAAATCTCAGGAGTCTCAACTCTCATCGGTTATGCGACCTGATGGCTTATACTACAAACCCCTTTGGATACACTTTCGACCATGTTGAATTTTCATCTGGGGGACAAAAGTGTCACCTTTGACCCCCAGGAAATCCATTGAACTACTTCATAATCCATTAGATCTGGATTTTGCTAAGACAATTATTGAATTTTGAAAAGGCTAAAGCGGCCCTTGATGTATTTCTTCCCTTTAAATCTCCAGGGAACGATGGCATTTACCCAATTCTGCTTCAGAAAGGCTGGGATATTTTTGGTCACATTCTCGTGGACATATTCGAGTCCGTTTTGATTTTAGGATATGTTCCTAAGGTTTGGAGAACTTCACGAGGTGTGTTTCTTCCTAAACCAGGAAAAGATACATATGAGAAAACCAAACTCTTTTAGAATGATCAGCTAACATCCTTCCAGCTTAAGCTGTTGGAGCGTTGATTTTCTGGCACCTCCAGTCAGATAATAATCTGAAACTACCTTTGGCTTAGACCACACGGTTTTAGGCCTGGCTTCTCCACTGAGTCGGCCTTACACCAACTCGTGTGGAGAATAGAAAAAACATTATAGACGGACACTTTGCCATTGGGATTCTACTGGATATTGTAGGAGCCTTTGATAACATCGGCTTCAAGAAAATACATAAGGCCCTTACTGGAAGTCACATTCACCCTATGATACTAGATGGGTCATCTTCATGATTAAAAACAGGAACTGTGTTAGTCTCGCTGAGTATGAGTAAAGAGAGATATTCTAAAGGTGGTCCGCGGGTGGTATTCTTTCTCCGTTCCTGTGGAACCTGGTATTTGACTCACTCTTAGTACTTCTACGGGGGGGGACCTGACATGTCACAGGCTTATGCAGATGACCTTATTGTGTTACTACAGGGTTTCGATATCGGAACCTTACACAATCAAGCTCAGCAAATCTTGAATAAAGTTTCACACTGGGGTGAAACAAATAGCCTATCTTTCTCTGCTGAAAAATCTGAGGTCATAGTTTCACATGGAAAAGGAAATGGAAACTGGCAGATTTATATATGGTTAACCATATTATCAGACGTAAGGAATGCATTAAATACCTAGGATGTTACCTGGAATAGTAAACTCACATGGATCATCCATATAAAAGAAAAGGTACAAACAGCCACAAATGTACTAGTACTTTGCAGGCGAATCGTTGGTAAACAATGGGGCCTTAACCCAAAATCTACTCTATGGATGTATACTGCCATAGTCCGGCCAATGCTTTCTTACGGATGCGTGGTCTGGATTAATGTATTAACAAAAGCACGTATTTAAACATTTTACAAAAGTGCAAAGACTTGCTTGCCTAAGCCATTAGTGGGGCTTTAAATAGTACCCCTACTGCTGCATTAGAATTTTTACTGCAAATCCACCCTTGAAATTATTCTTGAGCGGAGAAGCCAATTAAAGCCATTTAGAGATTGAATAAAAATGGCACATGGTGCCAAAGGACAGGTTTTGGTCTGAAAAGCCACCATTGACATATGTTGGACTTGGGCAATGAGTTCCCTATAATCTATTGCCCAAGATGCAATTACTAAAACAATATTCCAGATAAACTATTCTCAACTCATTACAAAAAGGAATGAGATAGAATCTCTAATTGACCTATCCAACAGGATCAATTGAATGTTACACAGATGGATCAAAATCCACTTCACTGGAGCTGGAGCTATTATAAGAACCAAGGATCTGAAGAAGATTTCATCTATACCTTGGTAAAATTAACAACTGTTTCCAGCCAAGGGGGCGATCAATATGGTCGCAGGGAGCTCTTAACTAAAATACAGTTGATAAGTATATATATATATTCTCTCTGACAGCCAATCAGACATCCTTGCCCTGGCTAATCGTGTCAAGTTACAAAACTGTGTTTTTGAAACTGTACTCAAGATCTCAATTCTCTGGCTCAGGCCCATAATACCATTAGTTAGTCTGGGTCCCAGGTCATTGTGATTTTGCTGGAAATGAACTAGCTGATAAAGTAGCTAAAGATGCTTCGTAAACTACCCATGTCTGGCCCAGAACCATTTTACCCAGTTTTCATATCAAACGGTTTAAAAAGAAGTAAGAAGCTGGATAAGAACAAACATGATGATATATGGTCTAAACTACCAGACTGTGCTCATTCTAAATTGGTGCTTGGGTACACTTAACTTTTCAGGTAAACTCATACACCTCAGTAGAACTAACTTACGCCAGGTAATTCAAATTGTTACTGGACATGCTTATCTAGCTAAGCATCTCCACAAAAATGTGGTCTTGTCGAATCTCCTCTCTGCCCAGCTTGTGGAGAAGAAGAGGAAACACCTTTTCACTTTCTGGAACGATGTCCGGTGTTTCTCTGTCCCTAGAAACAAATTCTTTTGGGTTTCCCTATATTACCTTTGATCAGCCCTTTATACAAAGGGCTCTCTGGCATAATAGGGTTTTGATGTATACTAAACACCTACAGGTAAGGTGAATGTGAAACCACAAGAAACAAGCATTGAGATGCCCTATGAGTTTCTCTCTTTTTTTTTTTTTTTTTTTTTTTTTGAAAAGAACTATGCAGGGATTTCCCTCTCATAGCTGTGTTTTGGGAATTAATTTGAAAAACAGATATCAAATCTTTATCATTACCTGGCCATTTGGCTTGAGAATGCACCTCTGCCCTACTTATTTATTTTTATTTATTTGACTCTCCATCGCACTCTGTTTTGGTCAAATTTGCATTTTGGTGGTTTTTGGGAGGGATTGAATCGGTTTTCCATCCAATAGGGAAGTTTTCACGATCAGCAGACACCTTGAACTTAGAGATGGGGATCTTTTGCTGATACTATAGATTTGGTGTCAGTTTGGGATCTTATATATTTATTTATTACTTACCTTTGATGGGAGTTACCATTTAAATCCCTTGATTTAAATGATCAAATGGCGGAAGAGTAATGGGCAATTTTGCCTAAACTCCTTTCCTTCTTTTCATAAGAAGGAAGCGCCCCTATTGCTAATATTGTTGCACTAATATGTAAGTATCGAAAGAAATTGTACTGAGCAAAATGTTGCTTACTTGATGAAAAAAATTGTTCACTAGGAGTATATCGACCTACATTTCATATTCCACTTAAGCTATTTTTACAATTTAAATACTGCTGAATTCAGAATTCAAAGATACAAAATTCTACATAAAAAATAAACATGTATATATGAAACATGTGCCCACAAATTCAATTAAACACAAAATAAACCCTAAAATATCACTTTTAAACAACAAATTATTAAAGAAAACAATACACTATATTACAACACTACAATTCAAAAGGATTTAAATATTTACAAAAGCTTATAACCAGAATCTCACCTGTCTTTATCTGACAATCTATCTCTGCTTCTGCTTCGACGTCTGTCCCTTCGAGGACTTCTCAAATTTGGTTCTTTACTTCGACTATGGCTTCTGGTTCTAGATCTGGGTTGGTACTTCTTGTCCTGACTCTTACTTCTACTTCTTTCAGATCTTGATGCCTTAGAATTAGATGGAGATTTCCTAGACCTACCATTTCTAGAGTTCCTAGAACTTGCAAAACTGTTAGATGGTGAATGATCTTTGCTATTTTGTCTACCCGTAGAATATTCTCTTTCTAATACATTTGATCTTTCTGCTTTAGTTAAAGAAGCAGATGGCTCAGGACTGTTTTCATGGCTTCTACCAGATAATGGATCAAAATCTTTCTTGAAGGAGGACATAAAACCAAAATCTTTGTTTTCATATGAACCACTAGGACTTCCACTCCTAGCATCATCATCATAAATTGAAGGAAGCAACCTTTCTTGACGGGAGGTATGAGAAACTCCAGGAGAGGAGGATACATCTTGCTGATTATCTTCACTTGATGAGCCTCTTTTCCTGAAGGTCCTTTTCAGGGAATTAGAATCACCACGAAAAGTTGAGTCATCCTCACTACTACTGCTGCAACTTGAATTTGCTTTATTGCCACTAGGCTGAGAAAAGTAGTTAACTCCACTTCCTGAAGCTTTATTGGGAGCAGATCCAGGCTGGAGGGGCAAAAAACATAAAAACAAAAATACATTATGATTTCAATACAAATGCTCAAAAATTTCATGCTCAAAACAGATGTGTGACAATATATATTTCGACACAAAGGCATCTGTTCTCAACACTATGTTTCAAAACTATGAAATAGAATCTACCATGCAATTTAATTAAAAAATACTGCAGATGGTTTATACAACTGTAACTTTTATTCCAGAATTCCTTATCATCTGTTGAATGAAAATGATTTCTGACATAACTCAACTGCCAAGCCTTTCTGATTTGGATCATAAAAAGAGCTTCAAAATATTAGAAGTTCCTAAACACATAACAATAAACTATCAAATATAAACTTTTACCAACGAACTGAAATAACAACTTTGAAGATAAATTTCCAAGTGTTTGTTGTTAAGACCAGTTACAGTTGCCATATGATAAACAGTAATACAAATGACAAAAAAAAAAAAAAAAAAAAAAAAAAAAAAAAAAATCGAACTTGAAATGAAATATGTGGTATTTCTACTTAAGTTCAAAATCAGAAATATTTAAAAATTAGGATGAAACCACGCACAAGATATATTTATGAACAAGTAGACTCACTGCACTTTTTCAACATTAAAAACAAGCAATATCTGTATTTAAATATTAAACAGATTTTCACTTCATATGAAATAAATCTTGAAAAAATACTTTTGAAAAAGAACCTTAAAAACAGAACACAAATTAACATAATACAAAACTTTCAGTACTAAAACAATATACAAGTTTGCAGATTTAAACTTCATAAGAAAATGTAATAAAACAGATTTAGTTAAAAGATAAAAAAGCATATTTTGAACTCTTTGGTCAACATGTTCAGACATAATATACCTTTCTCCTGACAGATAAACATGCTAACAAAAGGGCGAATGAAAAAAATGCTGCCATGTGTATTGTATTAAATCAGACATAAAATACAATTTAAAAAATTTTTAAAGCTAAAATACGCATTTAAAAGTATTTTTATTTCAATAAGACTATCAAGAAACTGCCTAAGAACTAGCTGATTTCTAAATATGTAATTGAAGTACATTCAGCTAAAATTATATTTAAAACAGTTATTAAATCTTACAGGGTTATTCTACGCAATCCTGTTCAAAAATCAAGTTCATTTTGAAAATGAAAAAAAGGGAATTAAAAGAAAAAGGTTCTTTTCTCTTAAAACCAGACCACCTGGTGGTCCTTTCTTTTACTTATTTATTTTTGTGTGTATGTATATTTCTTTAGCTTTACGCTTTGCCAGCTTGTTTAGCTTTTTTCCTGATAATTGTTTTATTTATTTATTTTTTTACTTAAATATTTTATAGTAAATAATTCTGGATTATTTTGTTAATTTGGTACTAAATTATAAAAATTCTTACATTTTGTTGATCAGAATCTAATATTAATATAACAATTCTGTTCAGTCCTTGTATTTGTAGAGTGTTAAAAATGTGATAAATGCTAAAAAGATATTGCAAGGCAACATTACACTAATACTTAATTGAATTTATGTAATACTGCATGCATTCTAAATGAGTAATGCACTGTTAAATGATAATCTTAAGTCTGCTTTGTCTTATAAGACTCTACTATCTGCAGCAGCCTTAGTGAGAGCGTTGATTTGGTATGTTTCTGCACTGGCAAGAAACAAGCGTTTATGGTCACCAGTCTGCGCATATGAGTTTCTTTTAGTGTCGATTTTTCATTCATGTTCACATTTCATGTTCCTTTGGCTAGTAAAGATTTTTGCTTTTCAAAGATAGCAATTTTGCAACAGTTATCACTCAGAACACATGCATTTTTTATACCTTCAATTTTAACAGTTTTCTCTGCATGCTTGTAGTTCACATTTCTTTGGCAAATGAAAATCTTTGCTTTAAAATTATAGCAGTTTTTCATTGCAAATATTTATCACGCTTATTATTTTAAACCTACCGTAACAACTGAAAAGGAAGAGAATTGCTTTAGTGGATCATAAATATCTCGTATTACATCACTGCAGGGATCAATGACATGATGAAATAAAACACCTAGGTGCGGATCGCCATTACCTGGAATTGGATTTAGCAGAGTTCATTTTCAAAGAATAATCTTGCCATGACACTGTGTTTGAAGCACTACTGCTGAACTGTGGCCACCACAAATAGCTCATAAATAATTAATTAAACATGTACACTATTTCTTTAATAAATTGCTAACATACCTGTATACTCTAGTAAATTAAATACTTTAAAATCTATAACATTATTTGAAAATGAGCATTTTGCAATGAAAAACCATTATCTTGCCAGAGTGCAATTAAGTTTGTTTCTCGCCAAGGCGCTGCAGACAATAAGTACCTACTATTTTTAGTGCAATGTGTATTGGTTTAATTTTATTTAGTCGTTTAAGAAGAAATAAATATAACTATCTTTTTTCTATAGCTGTTTTTATTTAATGCTTCTCCTTTACTTTCTTTCACCCTTTTTCTTTTCTTGCTTTTTTTTTTCCTTTCTATTTTTTAACATACTTTCAAAGATGAAACAAGAGATTTAATTAAAAAAACAGAAAAATTGAAAGTTTTTTGAGTGAAATATGTCTAGTATTGAGACAAAGGGATGGGGAAATAGGCTAAAATGCACTAATATGATGTTGAAAAACTGTAATGTGGCTTTAACGGTAAAATAGCAACAAAAATAGCAGTAAAACATTCAAGTCTTTAAAGATACACCACTAAAACATCAAATAATTACACATCTTATGCAAATCCAAAGAATCAATACATGTTAATGTAGTTTTATCTGAATACAATATCCTTCCTTGTGTAAATATGGCTGTACTTCCATACCTGCTTATTTTTTAAAAGATTATACTACAATAAAATTTACCCCTTCTTTAAAGAAGGGTATTTCAACATTCTGAAATATTATGAAGTTGTTTAATTAACTAAAATCAAGCTCAGCTACAAGCACAGTTCTTTAGAGAATTATAATTTACATCTATTAGTTATTATTAAATTTTGCATATCTAGAAAGCTGGTGATCTTCAAATATCTGATCTTAACAGACAACTGGTGGATAAAAGATTTTGCATTTTCGTTAATCATTAATAGTAACGACAGGAAGTTACATACTTACTTTCTTAAACTTTTAGTGGAGGCATAGGCTTGAATGTCAAGTAGAGTATTTTCTCAGTTCTGTACATTTACAAATCAAAAAGGGTCAGATCAAGAAATTTTACGTTTTTCTTTAACAACTCATATACATAAATATGTAGTCATATAAAGTTTTCTTTTTAAAGTTTATTTAAATTATAAACAGGAAATTAATAAAGCTGTCTAATGTCAAGTTTTTTGGCACTGTTGTTTTAATAAATTAGTTCTAAATCTAAAATTTCTAGTAAAAAAAAAACTCAGGTACTAATTTTTAAATATCAGTATATCTTTTTGGTTTGAATAGGTTTAAAATAACCAATTTACAGAAAGAATTATCTCTAACAGATTTCAAACGTATTAAACATTCGTTCAGAGTTATACAAATTGATTGCCTGTGGACTTTCAAAAAAAAAAAAAAAGCTTCAATTAAAAAAAAATTACATAAATATACTTTAATCATTTTGCCAACAATATACAATTTAGTAACATCAACCTGTAACACTCTTAAGAATTAACATGTTTCCTAACAAACTTCTACGGAAAAGAAAAACTTCAGAAAACCAATTTACAACTGCACTTTTAAGACATTTTCTCATCTGCACAGAATTTGAAATGTCTATTTGGATTTATTTTGATGGCTATTTCTTTCCATCAATAACAGCTTTCTTATACATGCTTTGGATAAATAATTAAGATCTAATGAAGCTTCAGTAAGGAATTCAAAAAAGTGCTGAAACTACTTTTCACTTAGTACTGAATAATTTTCCAAACTGGAGGAAACATCTGATTTTCAATAAGACATTATTTAACCCTCTAAAACTTGGCCTTTAAAGCTGCTTCAATTACATTCATTATGCTTATGCTGGAAAACTAAAGACATAACTCTTATTTTGAGTTTTCATAATTATTTTGGAACATTCTAGAATATAGAATATTTTAACCAACTTTACACTATGTTTAAAGGCAATGCAGTAGTCAGAAAATCAAAGAAAATATGAAGCAAAAACTTAATCAAAAATTTAATTTAAAATTGATTCATTAGAAAATTTGGTACTTGCATCCTTTCTAGAAAAGTTGCCAACTACTGGCAACTAATTTTTCATCGAGCTAAGGTGTTAAAGACAACAGCCATTTTAAACAGCGCAGTGCACTAAGAATTACATAAAACAGCAACCAATTAGCAAAATTAAAATTGCAAAATATATCCACTTTTTTTTGTTGCACCATTCTCCCCATGTACACAGCAATCTCTCTTAAAACATCACAAAATTGCAGAAACTCGCCAACTGCCCCATGTCCAGTTTTCATTAAAATATATAAATAAATAAAATAAACGAATTACACAAATTTGGCTCTGCACATACTGTTGTTTTCCTATGCACACAGTGATCTGTTTTCATGTAAAAAATAATTAAAAAAAAAAAAAAAGAGCAAACAGCAATTGCACAAATTTGGCACCATTGCATACAAAGTGATTTTTTTTAATCTCTAATGTTAAACAAAATGAAGTATTTCTAAAGAAATGTAACACTTTCTCATTCATCAAATTGCAAACACACAGTTCCAATACGATTAATAAGGGAAAAAATGAATTCAATGCAATAATAATGACCAACACTTGTCTATGTGTGTGTGTGAATTTACCTGGATTGCCATATACATATATTTTAGCAACATCATGGGTTGCCTACTTTGGCAATATAACATGTTGCATCATGCATACTTTTCATGAGACTGTGGATAATCAGAAAATGCTGGATATTCCTACCGATTTTGAGTGAGTCAAGTAATAAAGGTCTCTTCGCTTCTTCATGAAGCAAAAGTATTTGGCTGAATACTAAATATCTACGTTAGAAAGCGATAGATTTTTAATAAACCACTTTTACCTGAAATAATTTTATTATTAATGGCAAAGTGTGCAACAACAATCTAGCAAAGGGAAAGCTGTTTTCATAGACTTTCTATGGCAATATGGTTGAGTTTAAATGTTGCAAGCCAAGGAAAGATCTACATAATCAGTCAGCATTTAACTGATATTCAAGATGATCTAGTGATGAAGAGTAACAATGACCTCTCAAAACCAAAAAGTTTTGTCTTATCACACTGCTAAATTTTAAAACTGTATATATTAAGAAGAAATATTATCTTTAAGCAAGAATTCAGGTTTCAAAAAGAGAAATGAAAATGTCTTCTAAATCAAAAATCCTTTATCTGAAACCTCCCCCATAAATATGCTGCTACGTTTCAACTCGCAACACGGCATGGCTATCTAGATATTTGTTTCATATTCAATAGAAAAGCTCGTATGTTAGCTCTCTTTGCAGCTGCGGACATTCAATGAATGATGTTTATTTCAACTAATAGTCTGCATTTAGTTTTTTTTAATTGTGCAAATAAAAAGTACTGAGAAACGAAAAGGCAAATACACAACTGCTAGTCACCTAGCATTTGTAAATAAATAACATTGCTTTGTAAGCAAACAGAAACATATCTTGCATACATTAAAAATTGATGAATGACCTTAAAAGAAAAATTACAGGACTGAGAAAAGAAGATTTCTCTTACTTTGAAATTAACAAAGAAAAACAAAACAAACTGTTGAATTACTTAAAACCTTTTACAGTGTTTTAATAGTCACATTAAATATTTCTTATACACAATCTATTTTTAGGTAATGTGATTTTACATAAAAAATCTCTTTTTTTCCAAGAAATCAACTTGCATGCTTCATGCAAGGTAAAAGTTTGTCTTACTAATAACACTTCCCAATGCAGAACAGATTATCATGGATATAAACTGCTAAATGCTTTATACCAATTTTTTTATACAGTATATGTGAAATAAAAGTTTCAAAAACAGACTTACAAAAACTAAAATATGCTATGCAACCATGAATATGTTAAAATAACTTAATAAATATTGAAATGATAAAGGGGAAACACAGTGATCCAAAAATGAGAAACTCAAAAAGTCTTTAGTATACAGTAATAAAATTTACATAAAAATCCATAAAAATCAAAGCCCTTGAGAAATACTTAGCATATTTTTACCTAACCATAATAATCGATCAAACATCAAATTCACTAAGCAAACCTGCAGATAAATCAAATACTTTTTTAACATCTACTGGGCCTATACATATTTATAGAACATTTTATGGAAGTTCAGTTTATTTTAATTACCCACTGCATTTATCTGTCAAGCAAAAAAAAGGTAAGAATTTAATATATATGACAACATTCAAACAATTACAACAGTTAAACTTTCATTTTTTGTTCTAATTATAAAAGATATAAGTCAGGATTACAGAGTAACTCAATTCTTTCATTCAGATAAGAATCAGAAAATAGCCTAAGAAAATACACTATATTTGCTAACTATAATGGAGGATACATGAAAAAATATATTAATCTAATGCCCAGTCTTATCTTAATCTATTTCTATCCGTATTACAACAAATATTTCTTCTCTGTTTCTTTTAACAATGTTTACAATACTTCTACATGCTTAAGATTCAGATGATGAATATGTTACGGATCATGAAGAGTAAGAAACATTTTAATTCATACAAAAATATATTAAATTTGTCTTAAATCAATTATAGACAAAAAAATAAGAAATTTAGAACCAAATTCACAAAGACACAAAAGAATTTAATGCCAGTAAAATTTAAAATTCCCAACACATATTTAAAAAAAAAAAAAAAAAAAAATGTCCCCAAACCAGATTTCCAGAAAATAGTTATGCGAAATACAAAAAATACAAAATACACAGGAAGAGGAATGCAATCGAAATCCAATTCAACGTTATCAAGAAGAGGTAGATCATTCAACTGACTCTTCGTTTTAAAATAACTGTGAATTAGAAACAGGGAAACAAAATGCTGCAACACTAAAGTCAAGTTACCAAGAATGATTTTATGACCATTTATGATTTCCTTTACACAAAAATAATATTCCGGTCAAGTCTAAAATATTATTTTTTCTGATGAAATTTTGAACAAATCAATTCAGAGCCTTATCATTTAAAGTGCACCAAAAATAAATAGCTTTACTTTTTCCAATTTATTATATAGATACAGCCCTTTCCGTAATAAAGCTAAAAGAGTTACTTAAAATTGTTACATTCTTATTTATTAAGTAAATTAGTTACAATTTGTGATTAAGCTCATTAGAAAAACAATGTTACATTCAATATTTTAATAAGTACTGAAGAAAAAGAAATATGCAAAAGTGTAACCATCCCAGTAGTAACGTACCTCTTTAAGCCATCTTCTTTAAGTATCGCCTTCCACAGGCCACCCTTGACATGGTGCCAGATTTCTTGACAGTATAATATTTATAAAGATGTGTGTTAATATAGGGCAGAATGTAACCACAACAGATTCGAGAAGCGACTCTCAGGATTTCCAACCTCTAATGCATTATATAGTCCAATTTTTTTTATTAATTAATTTAAACATTTTCAAAGTAAATTATATATATGATTCTCCTTTTCAATTACTAAACTATAATTCAAAAAAAAGTTAAACTTCTGACAAGTAACACAACTTAATCCAACTTTTATAAGTAATGATTGATTTTATTATAATATTGCCAACTAGTACCCATTATCTGTTAAGATATACTTTCAATCTGTAACAAGTGCTTCAATGATATTTCTCAAACTACTGCTTAAATGCTATAATAACACCTCATCAACAGTCTCGTGCTTCATTTTGATG